AGTGGAGACAATGAACGACTGTACGAACAATATTGTGTGTGTGTTTGTGTGTGTTATTTCTTAACTACTACGACAACAAAAGTTTAGTTTCCGTTCCGAGCGAATAAATAATAATCATACAGGTGTTAGAGCCTCTTGAAATAATTAATTACAAACTCAGATTAACCTATCCAGTCATTGTGTGTTGAAGGACTACGACAATGTTCGGTACATAATAATTTACTAATACATCATTTATTAATAACACCAGAAATGTTTTTTTGTATCTTATATTTGTTATGAAATAGACATTTCTACCAGTCAGTTCCGCAATGAAGTCGATGATGGCGATACAACATTAACAGTTCATCTTGAAGATACATTCTATTCATTTCAACTTGGTAATCAGTTGGACTGAAATGAGGCTGTCGAGTGATGTTGTATTCGTAATGGCAGCCTTGTAACATTTGAGACTCCGGTAGAGTGGCAGAAAATGCAGGAATATATGAATGTGAACATACCTGCTGGATATGAAAACCCATTATGGACTGGTGGACGTTGCTATTTTGCTGTTGGGACCACGAAATGTGACGATGAGAAATATTGGCTGTGGATTAAAGGTATGACTATAAATACAAGCACTTAAATATATACATAATACGGAATATAATGGTTACATCCACACAACATAGTTTGACTAAATATATGCAAATATTGTACAAGGTATTTGGACCCCTGACGACCATTTGCCGGTTCATAGTGTGCATAGTTTTTACGTGTATGTCTTTCTGTCCATGAGTAGTTAATATTCCAGATGGCCGATTGTCACGAAGTTCATCAACGCAATCCAAGATCTGATTTGTTTACAAATTCAGCTGTGCATATTCATTAGCTTAATTCGCAAATTAGTTAGTCACTTTTTAAACCATTGATTGTACTGTAATCTGTGCATATTTATTAGCCTAATATGCATAGTATTTTTCTTTCGCATTTACTTCATCTTAATGTTGTTTGGTATAGTATTTTGATTGATCTATCCAAATATTAACTCTCCAAAAACAATATAAAAACTTTAAAAGTAAGGCTATTCAATACAAATTTTACGTATAAAAAAATCCAATAATGGCATCGAGAAATTTCTTTTCTCGCAGATAACGGTGACCACGGTGATAAAATGGTGTTCAATCGTTGGTTTTCCAATGAACCAAATCCATACAAATCAAATGCTGGTGATTACGTTGCCATGGTGATGAACCGGACGACACCGGACTTGTGGGCCTGGTATGATTCTGATGAATTAGACCGCTATGGATTCATATGTGAATTTGGTAAGTCGTTGCTAGGCGACAATACCATGCATAGGAATATCATGTAAGTTGCTTTACATAAACATGCGAAAACATGGTTTGTACTGAAAAACTTAAAAGACGGTAGTCGTCGCGCCAAGCATGCGCGAGATATATTGGTCTCATATAAACAAAGATGGCGACTTTAACTGTTGACGTTACCAAGCTTTAATGAGGTTTTTTTAGGTGATTGGAAGGAATCGAAGGAGTGACTGGTGGTACTTAGTACAAGTCGCGCCCAAGTCAAACCTCGTACAAAGCTACTTGTTATTTCTATTAGAAGAGCGCATTGGATTGTGGGAAAATCAATGGTTATCAACACAAATGTCGCACATACGCAGCGCGACGACCCCCGCACTGTAATATTTGTTTGGTCAGCGCCAGTTATCGCTAGCAACACTAGTATGTACTGGTTTCATTCACAATTTTATGGATATATTCCACATGCATGCATGTTAGATCATTATGTGCTATTGTCTAAGCAGAGTTCGGACATTACACTTTCTAGTCACGATGTACAACATGGGGAGTTCAATACTCCTTTGATGGGGTGACGAATAGACAACGCCATCAAATGGTGTGTCTATCATTGTAGCTTATCAACACACCACACTGTTGAGCCAAACTCCTTCAGAAACTATGAGACGTGTAGACTAATATTAATGGTTATCACATAGATCCGCTATCAACGCCATCCACAACAAATACATTAGTTACCTCTACAGTGGATTTAACAAGAACTGAAGAGCTGACATTCATACGAACAAGCACTCACACGCCAGACAAATCCAACACAACAGTGGAAAGGACAACATACAGAATATTAAAGACTACAGAGTCGACATCGGATGACCATCACATATTGACAGGTAAGTTGTAATGAATGACGTTTATGGTATTCAACATTCATAACCCTTTTCACTGACTGAATGTAACACAGGGGGCGTATATCGCTAATAAATGTCTCTGGAACGAACGATGAGACGACATTCACCATGTACGTATGTAGAGATTATGAAATGAAACATTACAATTCTTTTCATTTCAGATCATGTCTTATGCGCCTTCACGATTGGGTTATTAATAGGCGTTCTTATAACGATCTGTATTGCCGTAATAATTATCAGGTAACAGAATGCAATACATGATCTTCAGATGAATACCATGGTGTTTAGCATATTCTCGTCATTATTCAAACACGTGTCATGTTGCAGTGATAGTAACAGTTTTGTATAACTGAAACAAATTACTGAATGTTCGTTACATAGAATCAAAATATACTGTAAAACACATTGAAATAGCTACATGGCATTTTAGCGAATTTGGTTCAATACATGAATTAACACAATCTTAATTTAGTTAAAATGCCAACAATCTCATTGTAAGAATATACTTTACTCTAAATTAATCTTGAATTAGCGAAATTACAGATTAGCTAAATTAGCTAAAATGTCATGCTAGCTAAAAAAGACGCGTTTTACAGTATTGTCCAATGTGTGTTTAATTATTTATTTATTTTATTCTGGTCGGAAATACTGAATGGCGGAGGCTAGCAGCAAGCGTGGGCAGATTTTTGGGAAAATAACGAACGACGAAATCGATCGCTAAAAAGGTATTTGAGTAATATTCTCAAACATAAAACGCAACTGGACGTGTTTTTACTAAAATAAATAAGTTTGCAATGGACCAATACACTCACGTGGCACTACGAATTAGGTTCGTGCAGGGAGCTGGTTCGTGTAAACTACTTCCTTGGGAAGCCCCTTTCGTTTTCGAAATTGATTACTTTATTTATATTCACAAGCTGAGCTCTTTTGTTAAATGGCTAATTCAATAATAATCCTTGATTATAACATACTGTATTTGCTCTTATTAGGTGCACGGGAAAATCGTCAGTTTATCCTGAACACAGAATAATACATGTAGTGAATTCCGGGAATGATCGCAAACAATTAGAGAATGGTAACATTGACACGTCAGCATTTTCAACAGCAAGAGGACAGGGAAGTATATTTGAGAAATGGAACGACATGTATATCTACAATCAGCCAAGTGATGATTCCAGTTATGTAAACGTCCGCCATGGTCAACACATCGAGAATTAACCTAGAGTTGACATCAATGATACTTAATACATGCGATGAACATGTGGCATAGCATATGTTTATTATTCGAGCAGAAATAACGGATATAATGATGATATACGTTCCAAATTTCAAGAGAAATGTCAATGATATGTGCATATATTTAACTGTACACGTTTAGCACCAGGTTACGACACCAATATATGATGCATTCCTATTTGATACTATGAGAAACGAAATAAAATAAAATAAATCGAAATATGATTACGACATCCAGTACGAAATAGTGCGTTTTGTTTGGATAATTCAGGTTTACGTAATATTTCATTGAAAATAATTTGGGACGAGTATGCGTACCAAACGATTTGTTTACCAAATGTGAGATATACGATACATTTAAACCAATTATTAATGGCTCAAAAATTCCCATTTCGTGGACGTTCGACACATCTCGTACGAAAAATAGTTCGACGATCATACTTTTTATCTGGATTTTCTATCAGCATCAAATAAAGTCATATGCCATGCATGTACTACATTGTTATCTATTAGAACCCAACAATGACTTTACATCGAGTACTATCGCTGAGAGCTCCTTTATAATCAACAGTTAAAAATTGATTTATATGCATTGGTTCAGATTTCTACTGTTTACCCATGTTGTATGACATTGCAACATTAAATAAATAAACAAGATACAATGTAATACAATGTTAGGTGTTGGTTTTGCCGCTTTTTTCTATAACATTTGACCTCGTAACTAAGACTACTTACTCGTTGCTATGATAGTGGAATATTCCACTTTGAATTGAACCAATCACAGTTATGTATTCTATTTTGACAACATTATGCAAACACTAAAAGGTACTATGACACTCTGACTGTGTCTCATGGAGGTCTATTTCTCTACACAAGGCAACCCTATCTCACCCACCACATAATTTCGGTGCCGAGACCAGGATAGGATGTGGACTTATTGTGGTACTACATACTAAACTCATCAGCAAGGTACAACTCATTGTTTGGACTCTATTATTAATATTCTTCAATTGACATTCTAATCTCAATTACTATATGACACAGGTAAAAATGTGAAGGGCGCTGGTCGTTGCGCAGCACAAGCAATGTTTACACGTGTTGTATACGTCGCTATGAGTCCCATATCCAACAGGACGCGATGACCACCGCCCTTTGAACAAAAGATTTTTTATTTTGTATGCTGACCAAACCAAAAAATTCAGAATAACAATGTTTTAAACGTTTGTAAAACTAACAACGCCAATCTTCCTGAAAATGGTGCGATTTAAGAGATGCCGCAGTGTAAATAAACATTGCAAACAGGGTCTGTTTGTTCGTAGAATTTTTGTTTTGTTTATTGTTTTGTTGGCTCATTGAAAAAAATACGTGCTGCATCTTTGGCATATTTCAGAATGATAGATCTTGTCCAGTCGTATTTCTACGAAGGATTTGTTTATACCGACCGAGTGTACAGTATTAATTTCACTCAAACTGTCACTTGCTTCCGCTTTTTAATGTTTTTTTTCCGCTCACTTCTGTAACCGCTCGTTGAAATCGACTAGATAATCTCCGCTTTATTTTCAAAATATTGCCCGCCTGCGCGCATTTTAACACGTGGTTTTGGCATCGTTATTTTTGGGAAAACACATCAATATTTTCTTCGTTTCTCTGCCCTAGGGAGTTAGCGTTGTTTTTATCAAGTAACAGTCACGATAATCATTGATGAAAGGAGAGAGCAGTCCTGGATTCAAACGGAATACAGTGATATTTCTAGTCTGATGCATAACGCAGTGGTCGACATCCTGTGTGTATTGCAAACAAATAGCATAGCGCCGGTCGGCATTTTTTTATTCTGGTCGGAAATTCTGAATGGCGGATGCTAGCAGCAAGCATGGGCAGATTTTTGGAAAAATAGCGAACGACGAAATCGATAGCTAAAAAGGTGTTAATATTCTCCAACATAAAACGCA